CAACCTTATCATAGAGAAGCAACAAAATCCATCCATTTTATCAGGTGAAAGAAATAGGAGCAGGAGTAGGTCATTTTAGCCCCTGAAGCCTGCCTCAACACTCTATAAAATTATTGCAGATCTGCCACAGGCCTGAAAATTCCACTTACTTTCTTAAAAAGTGCTTCTAATCTGTGTGACAGTAAACTCAGCTGTGCGAGGGCTTGTTAACCATGATTTCAGAATTGTGTGCAAGCTATAATTTCAGAGACTTGACTTGAGTTCTGCTGTTCATCAGTTTCTGTGCAGTTGTCACCTGGGTTTGTCCTGCAATGTTCCTGCTGCTCAGTCTCCTTTCCGGAGTGACCCAGCTGGGCACAGATCCTTGGGGATGCAGACAGGTGCAGTTTGCTGCCTGTGTACAGGAGGATATTGTGGAAGCCAGTATTTTTGATAGGCTCGGGGGATTAGCTAGTGCTGTCCTGTTTCCTTGATTCTGAAATGTTCAGCGCTTCGCAGGGGCACAGTGAAAACGTAATAAAGATGCTCTGATACTTGCCTTGAAGCAGAGCAGTATAGATAGTAATGACTGAGAGAAATGGGCAACCCCAATCCTTCACAATGGCAGTGACTCTCCATCAAACTGCATCATGCTTTGATTCTAAACATCTTCATGATGAGGTGGCAGCAGCAGAGAAAGGAGGAAAGGGACCAAATCCTGTGCTCTGGATCCCTGGGCATTGTGGGACATCATCAGTGACCAATCATCAATGACACAGATTGTCTGCTTGCCAAGCTCTGTGATTGGTTCTCAGGTAACTGAACCCATTGGGTACAAGTGAACAAGGCAAACAGAAACCTTCCAACCTCTACCAGCTCAGCAGCTCACTCTGTCCTCTATAGTAAACATTACGTTAAGGCTGAAAAAGTCAAGTTGATTTTTTGTACAACTGGTGCTGTAAGCTGTGATTTGTAACTGGTAAGTCAGAGACTGGACTAAGTCTATAATTAAGAATGGAGTAACTGAATACCTTGAAAATTTCCAGTTGATGAGGGAGAGCCAGCATGGATATCTGGGTCATGTCTGATGAATCTCATTGAAGTTTTTGAAGAGGTGACTAACTGGACAGGGAATATCTACGGATATTGTCTATATGGCCTTTTAGAAAGCATTTGACAAAGCCCCACATACAAGTCTGTTAACTGAGGTAAAAGCCCACAGGATTGAGGGCAGCTTACTGACGTGGCTGGGAAAATGGTTGACTGGCCAGGGGCAGAAAGTGGGGATAATGGGTAGGTACTCAAATTGGCAGGATGTGACCAGTGATGTCCCACTTGGATCTGTGTTAGGGCCTCAATTATTTCCATTATTTAATAATGACTTGGATAATGGCATTGTAATGTCACATACCCAAATTTGCTGATAACACAAAGTTATGCAGCATTACAGACAGTATAGATGATAGCATAAAATTACAAATATTGGTGAATGAGCAAAACTGTAGCAGGTGACGTTCGAATAAGTGGGAGGTTTATCCATTTTGGACCAAAAAAGGGATCGATCAGGTAGTTTCTATATGGTATGAAGTTAAATACAGTGGAAGTCCAAAGAAACTTGGGAATTCAGGTGCCGAGATCTTTAAAATGTGAAGTACAGGTATAAATAATAATCAGGAAAGCTGATGGAATTCTGGCCTTTTATATCTAGAGGGCTGGAGTATAAAGATGCAGAAGTTACACAAAACCCTGGTTACACCCCAATTGGAGACTAAGAGCAGATGTGGGCACCACACCTTAGGAAGGATATACTGGCCTTGAAAGGAGTACACTGTAGGTTTACAAGAATGACATCTGGACTTCAGGGATTAAGTTATGAGGTGAGATTATTCGAATTAGGTCTGTTTTCTGTGTAATTTAGTTTAAGTTCATCTGATCAATGTATTTTCCTGTTACTATCTTGAAGACTAAGTAGATAAAGATAAACTATTTCCACTGATTGGGGATTCTAGAACAGGAATGGATAATCTAAGAATTAGGGTCACACCATTCAGGAGAGATGTTAGGAAGCACTTTTACACACAAAAGGGTGGTAGATGTTTGGAACTCTCTTCCACAAACAGCAGTGGATGCTGGATCATCTGTTAGTTTTAAATCTGAGACAGATAAATTTTTGTTAAGTATTTAGAGATATGGGCCAAGGGCAGGTCTATGCAGTTCGGCCACAGATCAGCCATGATCTCACTGAATAGTAGAACAGGCTCGAGGGGCTGAATAGCCTCCTCTTGTTCCTAAGTGTGACCAGCTGAGTGCCTGTAACCAAAAGCAGGATTCTGATCAGTACAAGAACCATCTCCTCAGATCCTGGAACAAGGACCACTCAACTGCTTTTCCAGTTTCCCCTCAATCCATAACACCCATGTTTTTCCTGTGTGTCTGTCTGTGTAAGGTGTGAATTTCTAAGGGTATTAACTGGTAGAGCTATATACTGATGGTTCACAATTCTTTACCTCTAGCTTGAGTCTAATTATTTGTAATAAATAGTCATTCTTAAGTATAGAAACGTGGCTTGTGCTTTCTGACTGAGATTGAGGTAAATTGAGGAATTTTGTGCATTTTTATAAAATCTTTAAGTTTTGTTTTAACTCTGGGAATAATGAGGTTTGATTTCCAGTGCACTACTCCTGTAAAAAGTAGCAGCACCCAGCCCTGCCCTTAGTTTAGCCATCTCTCTGATACTGCCACAATATCTTATTTCCACATTGTAACTCCTCACCGTTATC